TTATATGATAAAGTTTTTACAATCACAACAGATAATACTGCAAATATAAAAAGAGCAATTGCAAATATAAAAAATATTAGTTGGCAAAGATTTAGTGCGTATACTATTCAACTTATAGTTGAAAAAGTATTAGTTCCAGCTAAAGTTCTAATTGTGCAAGTAAAACAGCTAATCGAATTTTTCATGCGTCCAAAATAATCTGAACTAAGGTTGCCTGCCTAAACCTCTCCAAAATTCTATGATTAGTTTCTCCAAAATTTTACTATAGTTTTATTATAGTTTTGGCAAGGTTTCGGCAGTTTTGGCATTTATAATAGATTTCATCAGGTTTCGCTTTTCACCATTTTGGCATTTCGCCAACTTGCCAAAATCCCCTAGTTTCTCCAGCAACCTTAATCTGAATGTTTAGAAGACATCCAAAAAAATATTTGAATGTGAATTCAGTAAATGATGAAAATCTAAATGAAAGAGAAAAAGAAATAATTGTAGTATTTTTATTATTATTATTATTTTTTTTTGATAAATCTTTAATCTATATTTACAATATAACTAATTTAATAATTTATTTAATTTTCTTTACACTTTACTACAATATTAGAATGTGAAAGATACGGCTAAATATCTCCAATTAATTAATGATGTATCTACATAATGGAACTCCAGCTACTTACTATATTTAAAAGGATAGATCAAAATTTTATTAAATACTTTATCATGTAATTCAGATTTGGATTCAAAAAAAGATGCAAAACGATTAAACCAGATAATGATTACTGATGATGAATGGAATCTCATTGCTGATTTAATAGAAGTACTATTATCATTTGCTGAAGTGACAGAAGACTTAGTAGGGAATAAATATGTTACAAATAGTATATGTGTACTAATGTTAATGGAGATTATTAAAACAGTAACAACTGGTTTATCATATAATCAAGATTCCGATGAAAAAGATGATGCATTTGAAAGTAATGATGTAGAAGAAGAAGAGCAGGATTCAACACTAAAGAGTAAAATTAATGAACCACTTAATACATTTGGATTGTTAAATTTAGTTAAATCAAAACTTTATAAAAATATAATAAAGTATTATCTGACCCTTACCACTGAAACCTAATACTTTCTATACTTGATTCTAGATTTAAAAAACTTGATTTTGCTCCTGAAACTTAGAGAATTGATACAAAACATCAATTACAAAAATTATTTGAAAAAGAAAGGAAAAATTGCCAACCTAGTTGTCCTAGCATAACTAATTCGTCAACTCAATCAAAAACTTCAAAAAAAAAGGAAGACTCTGATGGCACAGCTTTTCAAACCTAATACAGTGGTTGTTAATGAGATTGAAGAATATCTTAAGCTGCCCGAAATTTCTATAGAATCAAATTCTCTTGCATGGTGAAATGAAAAAAAAAAGAATTTTCACATCCTAAGTATTCTTGCTTAAAAATACTTAGCAGTTTCCGCAACTTCAACTGCCAGTGAGTGTCTTTTTTTAGATGCTGGGAATTTACTAACAAATAAAAGAACGAGAATGAAACTAAAATTATTCAAAAAGATTATGTTTTTAAAGAGAAATGCGTCCAATTTTAATACAATTCATCCTTGACTTTTAATGTTTGAAATTTTAAAATTTTATTATAATAAAGGAATTTGAAATTTAAATTTACATTTTTAAATTTATCTTAATTTTAAATAAATTTTTATATTTGCAAACCATTATCTATCCGTTATCTATCTGTTAAATAATCGTTAATGTAACAGTTAAACCAGTTTTGACCTGATTTAGAAATCAGATAAAAAATTCTTTAGCAAATGTCAATCCGGATTTTACATCTTAATTATGGTTGGATCTGATTAAATCACTAACAATTCAGAACTGAACACTAATACCAATGCTTTTTTCCTAAAATAGCAATATTGGTATATAGAGGTTTGACTGTATTGTATAATTTGACTGGAATTACAGAACTTAACCGAAATTAACTATATGACGAATAAGGTAATAAATATGATTTTTTCATTAAAAAAATTCTAAGTTCAAATAATACTTAGTAATTTTTGAAAGTTTGAGAATATGATATAAAGTGATGGTTTAAACATTACACAAATTTCTAAAAAAAGAAATTGGCGGTTAAATAAAAAATAAATAAATAAATAAATGAAAATAAATAAATTGAAATAAATTTAAAATTAAAAATAAAATCATAAAATCAAAAGTAAAAAAAACTACTAGTTAATTTATATTTTGCATTAAAAATAAAAAAATTAATTATTAAAAATTGAGAATAAATTATATATACTAATGGATCATTTTAACGCTCACTGGAGGTTAAATTCACCGGAGGACTCCGGGAGGTGAATTTCACCATATCACGTGATATTTATTATTATATTAAAATTTTGCTAAGATCGGTAATTACGTAACTTCAAATTTTTATGTTTGAATAAAAACGTGTAAAAAGTTTTTCTATTGACCATTTAGCATGAACTTATAAAGTTTTATTAACGAAAAGTTTCTTTTTAAATTACAAGAATATATATAACTTTAATTAAACTATTACACCCATCCACTAACCATTTAATCTAAGTTTTTTATTAATTTAAACCCTATAGTAATGCATAAGATATATAATCCTTTATAATTCAGTTAACAATTAATAATTTTATGACGGAAAAGAAATGAATATGTAAAAAAGGGATGAAGTGGATGATGAAATTAAAAAGACAATGTGAAAAATGAAATTGGAGTAAAGGGATGATGAAAAACAAAATGGGAGTGAAATGGGA